CCTACTCATTATATAACTTTCCTCCTCTATGAAACAGAAATTAGTTTCCATCTCTCTGATGTGTTGCTCCTCCTACTGTTGTAATAAAGGCTGACCACCCTTCTGGTGATGTTTGTATGCTTTAAGTAACTGTTCTGTGACTCTGTTCTTGTGACTTGGTTTAATACACCAACTGGCTCCAAGCTCTGTGAATCTGTGTTAGGATCAAATCAATAGTCTGTTTTGTACATTCTGTTAGAAACAAGCCGCTGGCTGGAGATTTCATGTGTTGTCTGCTGACAAATTCTTCATAAGACCTACTTTATTTAAAGATCTTTTTCATCACTAATTTTCAAAGCCATTTGCTGGCACAAGCATTGTATGGAAGTTGAAAATCTTTGTATCTTTTAATGCTGTAAATGTTTGAAATTGTTGTGCTGATGAATTTGGAAGTAGGTGCAGATATTTCCTTTTAACCTCACTCTTGATTCCTTTTTGAGATTTCCATTGTTCTCAGTGTTTCCCCAAAGAGTGAAGTACTCTTGCTGTTTTTTTATCATCTAATGTATAATTGAATTTCCAGGATGATAGTTTAGATGCAATATTACATGAATCCTACTTAGCTTGTGAATGTCCGAAGGTTATTTAGCCTTAGAGTGGTGCCTCTTGTTATTTATCATCAAAATTTAGGTCTTCTAGAAAAATGTAATCAAATCATTTGACAGTCTCTATGGAATCTTGTCTTTTAGGGCAAAATGAAAGAGCAGATACAGCTCTTTTTCATACTCTGTTTTTTACCCCTTATTTTACATCTGCATAGTTGTTTTCTAGCCATGTGAGAACTTTGGCAAAGCTGGGCGCATGCAAGTAGACTGAATTTAAGTTATACACAATAATACATCTAAGTTGCATTTTGCAGCAAGTGAAATTGAAAAATCTATCAGTCTAACAATTTTTAACTGTTCTGTGTTTATCTTGTGTAGTCTTTTGGGCCTGAAGCCAGCCTGTTCTACTCTGAACATTTTTTTTTTTCCTTTAACAGTCATTTTAATATCTTCTAAAGAAGAATTCCTTTGGCAGAGTACTGCAGTTACATTACAACAGCTGAAGTTGCAGGGTTTCTCGCAGTTTTAGTTGGTTGTTCTGGCAGAAATACCACATGTCAGAAGTGTCCTTTTATGTTCACTGGCCTGTTCTCCCCCTAAGTATTTAACAGTATTGTGAGGATTATAATGCCAAAGTTGTTTACTGATGATTAATTTGTTTCCTTTGACTTGTCTTGCCTGTTTGGGGGCAGGTATTTTTTTTAATCCTTACTGCTGTTGTATTGAATTGCTGCAATGTCCAATTATTTTATTCTCGTTATGATAATGCTGATTTGGTGCTAGGTAGAAAGTTACTTTAAAAATGTTCTCTACATTTGATTTTTATTACTATTTTTAGTGTAAATTTTAAGTAGTTTTGCATCTGTTGCTGTGTAATCAGAAATTTCTTTCTGATATTTTTTTGTAAGGGATTTTGGTCACTTGAAAAAGATAGAACCAGTTATTTACCATACAGTGTGAGTTTGTACATTTCTAAATTTTGTTTCCTTCTGGCATTTTTGTCGACTTTTTCCATTTTTTAGTCTTGCCAATCATGAATCTTCCTTTCCATTTTCTTTCCTTTGTAAAAGTTCCACAGTTCTTGGGTTAGTAGTATTAGCTCTGTATGTATGGGTATTTATTTATGGATACTGCCACTTTAGTTGCAATATATCAAAGCACTTGGCCACTCTGCTTACCACTAAGCCTCTGCCTTAATTTGCTTTGCTTTTGCCAGTGAATCACCTGTTCTGCTGTTCAGGCTGGATTTACTCACAACTGATGAGTTTGTTTTTGCATTCCAATGGTGAGCTTTGTTCTCTCTTTGGCAGCATTGGCTTTCTCAGGATTTTGCTTTCCAGGGAATAGCTTTTGTGGAGCTTTCTTAAAATCTCACAAGCTGATGATGGCATGCTTCTTACTGCCTTCTTTTTGTTGTTTAGCAGACTAGCCTGCATGTATGTGTGTCTAAAACTTGTCATATATTCAATTTATTTACTTGACCGATAATCAGTACAAGTCTTGAGAAGAAATCAGAACTCGTATCATCCAATGGAAGAGTGAAGCATCAACAATAACAAAAGAGACAAATATGTACATAATTTGAGAATGTTTACCTTAGGAGTTTATCTTAAACTCTAGGTTTAATATTGAGGCCAACGCTTAGATTCATATTTTGGCAGCAGTGTGATTTGAACATGTTTTAGAAATATTACTTGAGGAATACCAGGATTTGGCTTACGATACTTGCATAAATATGGAAAGCTGACAAGAAACATTGGTAGCTTTGATATCAGCATGACTGAAGTGCAAGCTCAATGCAACAGACCTAAGCCTAAGTTTAGTGATCATTTTTATCTGTTACAGACAGGCCACACCTCTATTCGAGAGCTACAGCAGCATTTACGACTCAAAAAGAAGGTTATTCTTGAATCTTGCAGAGCATTAATAGATCTTGTTGAAGAAAGAACTCATATTCTACCAACTGCAAAAGAGGTAAAATGCAGAAGAGAGTACAGATAATTTCAGAGTTCTGCTGAGCTCTTTGTAGAGGGTGTTTCCCTCAACCACTTATAACGTTCAGCAGTAGGGATTGCCACTATCGAAACTCATTAATCTGCTTTTTAATTCTGGTTCCTTACCTTAATCTGTCAATGTATGTATATAAAAGTAAATTTAGTTGTCTTTACTTGAAATGGATTTGCACAATACCTCCTAACAATTGAGTTGTATGGAGCAGTAACCTCTAACTAAGAGTTAGTGACAAACAGTAGGGGGAAAGTACAGTCTTAATTGGCACAGCTGCCTAGATATTGAGTATCTGTCTGTGATCTAACGTTATGAAAAATGAGCTGTCATAGATCTCTGTAAGTTAAATTGATTTTATAACGAGGCAGAGGGAACCATGGGCTGAGAAGGTGGTGGAGGTTGGATAAATGTTAACTTACTATATTGCTCAAAATAAGCCTCCTAATTTGCTTGAAGTGGAGTTGATCTCCCTTTCAGTTAAATGTTGTGGTCCCTTTCAAGTCAGCCAGGTTTAGATAACAATGTTTCAAGCAATTACTGCAGGAATATAAAAAATTCTAATACCTTCAATGTTCTTTGGACAATTAATTGTATGGCAGCTCAAGACTTGTACCTGTGATGTTTACAAGGAAAGAATGAGCTGTGCTTTTCATTACATCATATGTTCTAAGCAAATGCAATTTTATCTTTTTTCTGTTGAAATCTACATAAAGTAGTTTATTCTTTACTTTTTATGTATCTTAGAAGCACTTCCAGCAATCACTTGTGGTAAAACACTAGGTAGTGCGGTGTAAAAAGAACTAATATCTCCACTTACTTTATCTAAAAATGCATTTTTCTGTAAGGAAGGTCTTGTCTCTCTCTGGGATGATGTAGAAAATCCTCCTCATTCTCTTAGTAAAGAGACATTGGCACCTGAAGTCCCAGAGCACTTCATAGAGAAATTGTGGCAGCGTGTTGCGGATGACAGCTTGGTCGTTGGAGTAAAACTAACTGAATCATTTTACCTGTGAGTATATAAATTTATTTAATAATTTTATTGAGTGCTTTCATAGAAACTGAATTTGGAAGCTGAGATCTGTAGTAGCAAGAGTGGCTTTCTGAGCTTTGAACTTTCTCATTTTGAACATCTCTGTACAAAGTGTTTCAAGTGTGCATGTCTTGTCAGTGTTGTTGCTGCTGCTTGTTTCTGTCTAACACTGCAAAAAAATGAATTATATAGTCAAAAATCAATTATAGCAGTATAACAATATCATTACTGGAGACTTTTTACAACAGTTTTCTTTAACAAAAATTATGGTTCTTTAGAGGCCATGTTGGCACTGTGGTGTCTTGGCTATGTAACTCCCAATGCATTGCTGTTAACATCTTTCCATTCCTAAAGAGGGATTCGCTGAAAGAATCAAAGAAAGGAACATTTTAAATTCTCTGATCCATTTAAGGAATATTCAGCTTTTGAATTGAACTATGCTAGTAAAATATCCAAACAAATGAAATATTTGCTAAGTTTATGTATTGTGTAAATTATGTGGAACAATCAGTTATACAGTACTTAAATCTTCAAAAGGATTTGTTTATACTTGTTACTGTCTTTAAAATGATTTGGTTTTTCTGCTCAATTTAATTGCTTGGTTCTATGCTTTCGTCATTTCCCCCTCACAGAGAGTGAGCTCATTTGGAACACAGATTAGAAAAACAGGATTACATGAAATATAAATTTATGATGTGCGTTGTGTAACGTAAACTTTGGTGGAGTCCAAACATACCTTTTGCCCTACATTCTCACAAGCAGTGTAGCTAAGACCGCTAGGGTAAGCCTGAAGTCTTGGTGCCACTGAAAATCATTCCAGTGGCTGTGAGGGAGCTGACCTGTTACACCTTAGGCCATGCTGCTGGTGCAGTGGGTGTGCTATTTCTCAACTGCCAGATTGCTGTAACTTTACGGGCAAGTGGACTTCATCTTCTTGACAGCCTCTTTCTACCCTAAGAGTCACTGAGGCAGGAGCTGGGTTTTGCCTTTCTAGTGTTTATTCTTTCAGCTTTGACGATGACAACTTTGGTTCTGAAAATGAAACACCTAATTCCTGTATAGCTTCAGAAGCCCTCAGACAGTTTGGAACCACTCTTTTAAAAACAGCAGCACTATTGCCCTCTCCCCCATTTTTACAGTTGAAAAGATCTGTGAAGATTAAGTCATTTGTCAAAGCCTACCTGGTAGGCTAGCAGAAGAACCTAGGTCTTCTGGGCTCCATTTCAGTACTATATACAATGACCTGTGGTTCTGGGGAAAAGGGCTTCCTTTCTTTCCATCCCTGACTCTGTAAGTCTTTACTGATTATTTTCGGGCTTCCCACAAATGCCAGATTGCAGTGATGTTTTAGATTGCATTGTGAGTCAGTGATACTTCTTCATAAAGAAAATTAGACATTCAAAAGACTTTCAGATGTCAGTGACACATTGAGGCTGAGCTGATTGACAGAATAAAATATTAATTATGAGAGGATCTGAAACAGTAATATTAGGATTTCATTCGAAGAACCCTATGTTGAATAAAGTACTTCATACATTTCAGGAAATTACTGCATGTTTAAGGTAATAGTATTTTAAACCTTTTATTTTTACTCTCTACATTCAATTTTGTTTGAATATCTATAAAACAATATAGAACCTCAGAAGAGCTTTTAGTCGTGAAAGAGAGCATAAATCATAAATGTCATAGAGTATCTGCATGGGTTATGTGGATTTTTCAACATTTTCTAGGTGAATTAGACATCCAAATTCTTTCATTCAAAATGGGGCATCTAACTCTTGAAAGCTTTTAGAAAATTCAGCCCATATTTTGCAAATCTCCATACGAAGCTTAAACAAAATAGCCATTTGCAGGACTTGTACTCTTTGCGCAGCCTATGACTTAAGCTGGCATGATAATGAGCCTGTGGCAGTCTTAAATGTCTGCAAAGTTCTGATAATTTGTCAGAAGGCAAAATACAAACTGGGGGTGCAGTCATCTTCTATGGATTTTCACAGGTCACTGAGCGATGTCAGTTTATCTTTAGTGATGGATCAAGACTCCTCTTCGGTATCTCCGATTATCGAGTGTCGAAATAAAATCATTAAGCTGAACAAAACCTTCTCAGCATTGTCTGTCTCCTCGGGTCAAATCGAACCTCCTCCAAAAAAGATGAAATTGGACTTGCATAGCAAAAATGATCTGAAAAAAGAGTTTCCAAAGAGCTGTTCAGGGGTTCAGCTGGATGGAACAAATACAGTCGTTGCTGTTACCAGCCTGTCACCATTGCTGGCGTTTCATCGTGTGCGTTGCATGGTTCTTCTACACGCAAAGAAACAAGACGGCCGGAATGACAGCTCACAGGAGAGCAAAAAGATTACTCTGCTCTGTGGGAAAGTTCTGTTAAATCTGGAAGATATTTCAAATGGGAAATATTCAGTAAAGATGCTAAGGGATGATAGTTACTGTACAGGTAAATGTATGGATATAATTTGGATTCATAAATATATAGTTAATCCTTTTGTTTAGGTGATGCCAAGCTAGTTGTTCAAGGTGTAAGCACATCTGGCTCTTTGAACACAAACTGCATAGACCTGTTGGGAATTAAGTGGGAAGAAATACAAGATGGAACATTTCTCAAAATGGAAAAAATGTTAAGTGAGTTTCTGTAAGGTTTTGTGCTAGCATTGGTGCTCAAGTCTGTCTGGAAAGGTTAATTTTGAAGATAAGTGCAAGTACAGAATGCTGAAGCCTGCGTATTTTTTTTCTATGTATAAGATATTACTGTTGATTAGTTACATAGATTTTTTTTTTTTTTCCAACCTGATATTACCTCTTAAATAATACAAAAGTAATTGAAACTTTTCCTCATCTACACATCTATTAAGGTAATCTATTTTCCTTTGGCTTAGTATTCCTGATTGAATTGATTTTGAACTGGGCTTCCGCTCATGCAGCAAAATATCCTTTTGATCATTCGCAATGAATTTTAATTTCTTTCTTCCTTTAATGTTGTATCATTGGCTAAAGCTGACATGTCATTTTACTATCACAGGAAGCTATTAATAGTCTTCTTTTGGCAAAGTGACATTTATCTTTAGAGCTTTCATTATACAAGTGGGGCTCTGTTAATCAGCTAACTGTTTTGCTTGGCGGAAGTAGGTATAAGAATTTTGGTGAGAATAAAATTACCAAAGAACACCTAAATGCTGGTGCAAGCTCTTCACATAAAACTGACTATGAACCAAAAATCTAAGCATGCAACATGGTCAAAATATTTAGGTCAAATATCTTTTTATTGTATTTTCTTGCAGGCTCTATGGAAGATATACTTACGACCCTTGCAGTGTCTGTCAGATTCTCCTTTCAGATTGTGTCTTCTGACTACACACTGACTACAGTAAATTCATGGTTATTGGGAGAAATGGAGTGCACGCCATTTAAAGAATGCCATGACAACATGTTCTGTCATAAAGCGGGAAATGTGTATGGTACAGTTTTTAATTGGACCCTGAAAAACCCATTTGAAGGAGTTCTAACATTATTTTGCAGGTAAAATTAGTGTAGAGTATATTCATCTTGCATACATGCTTCTTTATCTTTACACTGTTTTTTGCCATTGTTTATGGTAACAGTAAGAATCATAACCAATAGGCTTCCAATGTGCTGATATGATAACCATCAGCAAGAACAGAATTATTTTCTAATTGGAACTATGGCAGAACCTGAAATGCATTGCTTAATTTTGTCTAGGCTAGCACACTGAATTACAAACAAGTCTCCATTAGTATCTGCTTGGTAATATTTTGTTAGTTTATGTAATTGTATCATATTTTATATTTTTTTATTACATTATTCTCAGAATAATATGTATTTTTTTCTTCAGCATGTGCTAATTTAAAAAAAAAAAGATGTTAAAAGCAACATAAAACAAAGCAAACAATAAACAACCCCAAAATGTATTATGTCAGTTTGTAGTTTAGTTCTGCAACATAAATTTAGTCTAATTTTGTACATTTTTCTGATACATGTATTTCCTATCTACTATGATTTTGAAAAGGAAACAATGTAAAGACTTTCAGTGATTTCCTTTCTTTGTGTAGATTCTTGGACAAATGTCTAAAATTTCCTAAACAAGGCTAAAGTTAGTGATACTGCCATAATTTACAGTTTAGCTTGGTAAGTCTCACAAAGTAATTCTCAAGTATTGACAAAATGTTTCCTGTCCTGAAGACTTCAAGGTAACATATAAAAGAAGGAAAAAGTAATATGAGTCTCTTAATTTATAATGAGATTCAATCTTTTACTCAAATTAGGAGCCGATTTCCTTCTTTTCTGTAAGAAGAAAGGCTGAAATATTTAAGAAATCAGTCAGTAAAATTTTAAACCCCATGACTGTTGTTTCCTTCTGAAACGTTAGGTTGCTTGATGCTATTTGCCTTTGATCCAGTTTTCACATTAATAGTGAGCTTCGTGTTTATAGTGTAACTATGATTATGTTTTCTGTATCTTTTTTCCTGCCTTTGGATTGATCATTTATCCAAAAAAGACAGGATATTTCTGTGGTAGGTGAGAGCTACAGACTGTTGTTTTTCACAGCCTTTCAGAATGAAAATAGAACTGTATCTGTTATAAGTAGTGGGATATTAAGCTAGCCAAATAGAAATAGAAGTACTTTGAGGAGAAATGCCTTTCTGATCCACATGAGAAAACTGGCTACTTAAGGATGCTTGTGGGTTTTTCTTGGGTTGTTGTGGGGTGGGGGAGTTTGAGATAAATTTTTTGGTTTTTTAATCAAAATACATCTTCCCAGCAGTTTATCTGGGCAAACACTGGAAATAAGACTTTGGACAAACTTGCATTCCTCTTGGAATGAGGAATGTGTCACTGTGCCATGCATGCTACACTGGTATCCAGAAGAGTAGGTTCCCTGTTGATTACCAGCACTATTCTGTCTTGGTTAGTTAATAATTTTGATTGTCTGATATTTAAGTGCAACTTTCCCTCTCCAGTGACCATTTAAAAAAGACAAGGTGTGGGCCACCTAATAGCTGTGCTGTACATACCTATTGATAGTGGCAATCTGTAAAGATAAGTGATTTTTTTTCTGCCCCTAAATGTAGACCAGACAACATTTCCTTTATGCATTTGGCCTTCATGTACAACGAGCTGCTTCTAAAAGAAGTGATGCACGTGTAACCCTAATCAGGGACATACATTTTAGCATAGGATCTTTATGTTGCTGAAGTTTGCTTCATGTCAGCTCTTTTGGTGTCCAGTGTCTAGGGTGCATGCCCCTAGAAAGCTCTTGCTTTCTTTTGTGAGTACATACATAATACATAAAACCATAATAAGTTTTTCCCAGTTTGATTTAAAGTAGCTTTGTTTTATTTTCCACTATAGAATTTTGAAGATTTATGGTAGCTTTAATAATAGCAATAACCATCATCATCTTATTTTACAGAAATCTGACTGTCTTGTTCCAGTGCCTTCATAGCCTTACTAGAGTTCTCCCACCAAGCTCTGATGTAAAACTTCTGAGATCTGGAAGCAAAGGATTACTCAGTGAACAGTTAGCACTGGCTTTGGAAAAAGAAATGCTTACCTTGAGGAGCTCTTTCTTCTCAAAAGAAAGTAAAGCTGAAAACAGTTTAACATGGGGGAATGAGGCTGGCAAGAAAATCACTGATGTTCCTGTGGCTTTACTGGACAGTGAGGAAGGAGTTCAGCAATTCAGAAAGAAGCTTCAGAATGAACAGGAAGAGTGTGTGCTGAGTATGAATCAAACAATGAATGGTGCCCTTTACCAGGAAATTGCTTTGAAAATAGCAGAAGCTCAGCTCAGTTCAGATATGATTGCTTGGAGACTGAGCAAGTCCTAGAAACTATTTACTAGATTTCTTTTGAATGAAGTTTTATGAAAATTATACTATTAAATAATATTTATATTTTCATGGATTCTTCTGTTACTTTTTATTCTATAGGTCAGTTAATTCTAAGTACTGGTATTGTGGTTGATGACTTGTAGCTGATTTGGCAAGAATTTAGTATTAAAAGGTAGCTCAGTCATATTGTTACATATTTTGCAAATATAATTTTTAAGGTGTTTTCTAATAAGTTGCATTCCAAAATAATTCTTGAACTATAAATGAACTAGATTTGCAAAAAAAATTAACAAGCACGTATTGTTTAAAATAGTCCTATTAAACATGAAAGATAGCTGTTTACACAGGTAAAACTTAACCTTTTTTTAGAAATCTTAAGACAGCTGTAGAAAGGGTCTAAGTTAAGCAACCAAACATAATTAATAATTTGAGTGTGGGGTTTGACACACTCAAAAAAGAGGGAGCTTATCATCATGTTTCAAGCCTTTGAAATAACTTTTAATTGTAGCACTGGAGGAAGGACACTCTGATTGTACCTTGCAGCCCTGTCTTCTAGAGCCCACTCAGATCTGCGAGATTTTGGAGTATTTATTTGAGATGGAGAACCAGATCAGGCCTTGTGGGATTAAAGCTGAGCTTGCTATAAGGATACAGAAAACAGGCTAATTTAGTGTGCTTGGTGAGAAAGGTTTATGACAGTGAGACTTGTGCTGCCTCTGGAGGTGGAGGTCCACTAAGCTGGCCAGGTGAACAGGTGAAGGAGGGGGTCTTGTGAGGATAAGGTGTCCCTGTTTTGGCTAAACCAACAGAGCAAACATCTCCTACATAAATCTTGAAGGCCAGAGTGTCCGAGTGAAGACTTTTGTCAAATTAACAACAAAATTAATATTAAAATTCATGCCCCTAAGTATGCTAATGAGCCTAAAGGAGTACATGCTAGTCCTATATGACTGTAACTCAACTCTCTACCCAAACCATGCTAAATGTCACCTGGAAGGCAGGGAGAGATGGAATTAGGATATAAAAATCATAAAGGGAATACATCTCTTGGGGGGAGAAGACTGAGCAGTCTAGCAAAGACAGTCAATGGGCTGTGCTCCTCTTCCTCCACCCATGATGGGGACACCTTCTTGGTAAGGACTGTGCATCTCCACACGGTGAAGCTCTCCTGGCACTGCCAATGGGCGTTAGTGCTGTGCACAGGCTCGTGTCTCAGGCTGCCCTGGATGTACCCGGGGATTACCAACCCGAGCTCGAGCATCCCTTTCCAGCTCCTGCCTTTATCAACAGCGATTCCACATCTGTTTTATCTGTCACTTTCATAAACCCAGCAGTTTTAACTTTCACACTGTCTGCTGGGGTTCTGGGATGGGAGTCTCAGACAGGCTTTTGACTTTATCAAAACTGCTCAGTGTGAGCCCTTGGGCTCTGGCAGGCAGACATCTCACTCCCACCTGTAACACAACAAGCCTCTTGCAAAGCTTCAAGAACTCATGAAGATTCACTCTGTAATAAAATGCTTTCAGGTCTGGGAGGTCCATTCCCACCCAGAATCTAGTGGTAGGGTGAATCTCATTGGGAGATCCTGGAGGAAACTCCTTCCTTGGACATTCACCTAGCTTCAATGTCAGAAGTTTTATTTGTAATCATAAATGATTACTAGTCAGTGGTTTTGATCTATGTCAATAATGGACAACTTTTCGCCTATTAATCCTTCCTTTTCTGGTTTGAACAAGATACCACCTATGCATCCAGGAAGAGAACTGCCTGGGATCTTGCAGGTACTACTTGCTGAGGTAGTTCCTTTTTAACCATTTTTTCACACCATTTTTCAGTTTCGTGAGTGGCAAAAAGCTTAAAAAAAATTCCCAAATCATAATAACTTGCTTCCTATTACCTCTGCTTTATGCAAACAAAACATTCCTAGTGTTTGTCACTGTTTTTCTGAAGTTGTCAAAATTTTGCTTTTCGGTTTTCCTGTAGACAAAGTTTTAATTGTTGACTATCTGCAACATGCCAAGGACAATAAAAGTTTAACAGGAAGAAGGGAAGATACTTATTGACTCAAAGGAACACTGACATTTCAGAATAATTCCACATCCTTTTTTCATCAGAAAGTTCAACGTCTGTATGTGTGTCCTCCAGAGGCATTAGAGTGGTGATGTTTCTCAGTCTGAGGTGTCTTCTCATGCCAGCAACAGGTGTAAACCAATGCGCATGTAAAGGGAAGGAACAACAGAGAACAGTGGGCTTTCTAAGTTCAACTCCATTTAGTGCCATACTCTCAAGGTAGTCAAAGTATTAAATGTCTCCTTTTTTTTGGCTATATAGAAGGGAAATTTTGCATTAATATGTCAAGAATGCCTTAAGAAATTGTCACAGGTATTTGAAGCAGTGGTTACTGAATGAGAAAGAATTGTTAAAAAAAAAAAAAAAAACACCTTTATTTGTTAAGCCACAATTCTGTTCAGCCCATAGTCAAAGCTTAACAGCTCATTGACAGAGCTTGGCACTCTGTCACTAGAATTTCCAGAAGAAAGATCCTGATTATAAATACTTAAGTGAAAAATCTCAAAGTGCAATCCTGTAGCTTGCAGCTAAGGGCAAGCCCTTGGTAAACAAGCTGAGCAGAAACTTTCAGAGCAACAAAGCTACTATTCAGCTCAGGGCACTTGGAGGAGTTTATGCAAAGCAGTGGCAACAGTACAGCAGCTGATTTTTGTTAGCAGGGCTGCAGCAGCCTGGTGTCATCTTGTAACAAACTCTCATCTGTCTGTGTCTTTAAAGAGAAAAATCCACTTGTGTTCCATCCCTTTATACAGAACTAGTAGAGTGGGACAAATGAAGAGAAGTTGCCAGTTTCTAATGCCACGGAGTTGTTACTTATTACTTAGAAGAAGTAAACAATGAAATCACGGAAGTGTAGAAGTGAAATTAGAGTAGGAATAATTAGAGGAGCAACAACAGGTTCCTACTACAGAGTCTTTCCAGAGGCATGAATGCTTAGTTTGTGTATCAGGTGAGATCATTAAAAGCTTTCCTAACAGCTCTGATTTCTGGAAGTCGTTCTCCAGCTGACTAGTAATGCACAATGACATGGCCCAGCTTTCAGTGGTAATGATGCAATTGGTAGGTCTATTGCATATGCTTGAGAGAGACTTTTATGTGCCAAAACCTAAAGGCCTAGTAGAAATACTTGGAAGGTTTGTGCTGATAGGTTTGGTTTTTTGGGGGGTTGGCAGCAGGAGCCATGGGAAAATGGAACAAGTTTCTGGACTTCCAAGGAAGTCTTGGAAGTGAGTTCTTGCATAGGGAGTTCTACAAGTACTTTTTTTTAGCAGATCATTTGAGAAATGAAATCACTTAATGGCAGCAGCAGTCCTAGTTACTGGGGATCAGTATTGTTAAGAAACAGCTGCTGAAATAGTTGGATGCTTGACACTGTAAATTCCCTTTTCACCGCTAACAGATCAAGCTGAGAAAGGTACAGATTACAACCAGCAGAAGGCTTTTTGTTAATAAAGCTATTACTAATAGCAGATGAACTGTTCACGCAGCACATCTACTTACTCGCACACTACTCTGTAGGAGCAGCAGCTGGGAGACCATCCCAATTCCTGGGACTTCTAGCTCCTGGATGCAAAGTTTAGAAAGTCCCTTAAAGAACCCTTTGCTTCATCAGGTGTATATGTGTAATTATGTAGGGGTTTTTGTTTGCATATAGCAAGCACTGTCTGCTTGTACACGATGCAATTTATGCAGCCTGTGGTTGATAATAGTGTGGGCAGTGGCTTTTTATACAGCCAGCAGGCTCTTGGTGTGCTAAATTTGTCAGTTCTGGTGGATTTAACAGGACAACTGGTCTCCAGAGTTTACCAGTTCCTGGGAGACTTTCATTTGCAGCTTCTCAGCATGCAATCATCAGCCTGCTGATTGAGGGTGAACATTCCTCTAACCAGAGCTGTAGGACCCCTTCACATAGATTCAAACAGAAGGGGACATTTTCACATATAAACTTTTGACAAAGTAGTATGACCAGAGTCAACTTGGTCAGAAAGAAAACAGTTTTGATTTCTTAAAGTCAGCAGATGTCAGTGGTTTCTGGTAGGTATCTGTAGGAGTGGTTCCAGCCCTCTGGCCAGGGCAGTGATCAGCATGTACCTCGCCATGGCTCTTTTACCACCCATTTCGAAACACTGGGATGCAAAAGGGAAGTTTGGCATTGGAAGCATGAGCAGTCATGCCTAAATGCACTCTTACGTCCATCTTAGCACTTTTAAAGTCAGCATGATTTAAGGCCCTAAGAAAGAGGGATTATGTGTCAAAAAACTGTTTTTCCAGTCAAGTTGGTATAATAATTATATTTACTTGTGATTTTTCTCTGTCATTCTCAGACAGGAGAAACCTGCCTGCTCTAGAATACAGTCTCTGTTGGATTGCAGTATTTCCTTTCTACGTCTGTGTGTATACATATGCATTTCAGATCAACTGACAGGGTGCTGGGTTGTTCCTGGTAATGAGAGTTAAGCCTTCTCTCTCAGCTACTAATTCTTGTTTTCTCACAGCTTTTGACAATTTGAAAACCACGGCAGTCTTATGACTGCTCCCTTCTGAATCATGCTGACTCTGCTAAGGCAAAGTAATAATGCTAGCATGTTTATCCATGAGCGAGATAGTCATTAGAGACTATTAACAAAGATGATAGGGTGAGCAAAAGGGATACCCAAAATAGTGGTAGTCTTCTTGCCCTACCTTCTCTACTTCCCTGGGAGAGCTGAAGTTTTAAGTAAGTGGAAGATAAGTGTTGATGCAAGGATTTAAAATCTTGAATAGATGTAAAGGCATGGGTTTGAGCATTTTGTTTTTGGTGGTTTTAGTTTCTTTCAGGTTTTGGTTGGTTTTTTTTCCAGTACTCTCTCATCTGCACTCTAGACATGCCGCTGGGTAGGAACAAGGTGATCATCTTGATCAGTATGTAGTAGGAGTTTCTAGCCAAG